CTCTCTATCCCTCTCTCTCTCTCTCTCTCTCTCTCTCTCTCTCTCGCACCGTCTCACCGATATGCAATTCAAACCTCAACCTTCATCAAACACACGCGCTGCTCTAGCGATGTTCGGCTGAATATCGAGTGTAAGCACATTCCTCCCTGTTGTTTTTGCGCTATTCGGGACGGCGAATGCAACCCACCGTAGCAGTGAAGACTATTTCAAGTCAGCGGCGGTCGACGGTTAGAGAGAAAGCGCGCGGGAGAGAGAGAAAGAGAGCGAGATATGGCGAGAGAGAAAGCGAGAGAGCGAGAAAGAGCGAGAGAAAGAGAGAGAGCGCGAGAGAGAGAGAAAAGAGAGAGAGAAAGCGAGAGAGCGAGAAAGAGCAAGAAAAAGAGAGAGCGCGAGAGAGAGAGAGAAAGCGAGAGAGAGAGAGAGAGAGAGAAAGAGAGGGAGGGTGAGAGAGCATGANCCATAGAAAATTCGTGACGTAGTCAATTTAAGGATACAGTCAAGCTTTTATGTGAAATTTTACTGATTTTTCATTTTCATTTTGATTCGATGGCTAACACTATATAGTGCCACCTCTCTACCTGCGGCTTGTTGTCTTCACTCGCGCTACCGACAGCGTTGTGCAGATTTGCAGGCAGACGGGTAGATAGATGATCAGGGTTGCCTCTAACGCTGCTGCTGCCCCCCTGCGGCTCCGATGTAGAGTTTTGTCCCGCGGCCATCTTGTATCCCGGTAGAGTCTTCCTCGAATCTCTCTGTCGGCCATACCTGAAACATATGCATACATACTTGTTAGATATGCTTACTTGATTTGCGTATAGGTGTTAGTAGAGTGATTGTTCACCAAGGAACCACGATGGACTGAACAGTATTACGACTGTAAAAACCGTGTAACGATGGGAAATTATTACTTGACTTTGAGCGTAACTTGACTTTGGTTATTGCTGGCAAGCGCTTCAGCTTCCCGGTAATTGTACGAACTTAAGTAGAGTGGGGCGAATATTAATGGATGGCGCAGATAACATCTGTTAGAGGGTATCCGATAGTCGCTTTCGCCGCGGCTCAGATTATTGACTTGTTCGCCTAAAAACGGAAAAGCATCCCAGAAAAACCTGAATAGACGGAACAGGGAAAAAATGGCGGTGCCACGCGCGGTGCTTGCTCTCTTTCTGTCTCTCTCTCTCTCTCGTCGCTCTCATCTATCTCTCCTCTCTCTCTCTCTCTCTCTCTCTCTCTTCTCTCTCTCTCTCTCATCTCTCTCTCTCTCTTCTCTCTCTCTCTCTCTCTCTCTCTCTCTCTCTCTCCTCTCGCCTCTCTCTCTCTCTCCTCTCTCTCTCGCTCTCTTCTCCTCTCTCTCTCTCTCTCTCTCTCCTTTATCTCTCTCTTTCTCATCTCTCTCGCTCTCTCTTCTCTCTCTTCTCTCTCTCGCTCCTTTCTCGCTCTTCCTCTCTCTTCTCTCTATCTCTTTCTCTCTTCTTTTTCTTCTCTCTCTCTTTCTCTCTCGCTCATCTATCCCTCTCTCTCTCTCTCTCTACTCTCTCTCTCTCTCTCTCTCTCTCTCTCTCTCTCTCCTGCTCTCTCTCTCCTACCCCACTCTTTCTCCCTCCCCCCCCCCATCTCTCTCTCATCTCCTCTCTCTCTCCTCTCTCTTCTCTCGCACCGTCTCACCGCATATGCAATTCAAACTCCACCTTCATAAACCACACCGCGCCTGCTCTAGCGATGTTCGGCCTGAATATCCGAGTGTAAAGCACATTTCCTCCCTGTCTGTTTTTGCGCTCATTCGGCGGCGAATGCAAACCACGTAGCAGCTGAAAGACCTATTTCAAGTTCAGCGGCGCGTCGACGGTTAGAAGAGGCGGAGAAGAGAAAGAGGCGAGAGAGCGAAGAGAAGAGAGAGAGAGATAGAGAACGAGAACACTCACAGAGAGAGCAGAGAGAAGAGATGAGAGAGAGAGAGAGCTGAGAGAGAGATGAGAAAAGCGCGAGAGAGCGAGAAAGCAGCAAGAAAAGACGGGAGAGCGCGGAGAGAGCAGAGGAGGAAAGCGAGATGAGAGATGAGAGAGAGAGAAGGAAGGAGGGAGGGTGAGAGAGCATGAGAAGGGAGAGATTGGGAAGTGAGTGGGAGAGGGAGGGAGCGAGGGAGCGTCCGAGAGAGGGAGAGCATGAGAAAGGGAAGATTGGAGAGGGAGAGATTCGGGAGGGGCGAGGGAGGGAGAGTGAGCGTGCAAGAAAGGGAGAGAGCGAGCGAGAGAGAGAGAGAGAGAGAGAGCGCGAGAGAGAGAGACGAGCGTTTCCTTTCCCTCTCACCATCTCTTTCTCTGCCCATTCTCTTATTGCCCCGCTCTCTCCTCTTTTTCTTTCTTTCTATCGCTCGCACCTCTGACTATCGCACCTCCATGAGCTTTTCTTTCCATCTGTGTTTCTATCCTCTCCCCCTCTCTCTCTTTCTCCTTCCCTCTCCCCCTCCCTTCCCAATCTCCCCCTTCTCATGCTCTCTCACTCCCTCTCCCCCTCCCTCCCCAATCTCCCCCTTCTCATGCTCTCCCTCTCTCTCTCCCTCCCCCATCTCTCCGCTCTCTGAGCTATTACTATATACCTGTCACCATAGTAGTTGTGGTCATCGTAGTCGTTGCTGTAGGCGCGCTGGTAGCTAGGTCGCTGATTCTCAGTGTCGTACGAACTCCTATAATCGAGCGTCACCGACCGCCGATACGCCGGTCGCTCCCCCTGCTGGTCGTAGCGGTCATAACGACCGCTGCCGCCGACGTAGTGTCGGCCGTCGTCGTAGCGGTCGTCGGCGTAGCGGTCGTCACCAGCGAAGTGATCGTGCTCGTAGTTGTATTCGTAGTCGTAGCCGGACTTGGGCCGCTCGTCGCGCCGGTAGGGGCCTCGGTCTTCGTACATGTCCTCGTCGTGGCCGACGTCGAAGCGCGCCCGCGGCGTGGCGCTGCGGTCGTTGTCGGCGTACATGTACGTGTGCGTGTCTGCGAAGCTCAGCCGATGCTTGGCCTTCACGTCCGCCTGCCCGCCGCCATCTTGCTGTGCGCTGCTGATGCTGCTGCCGCCGCTGCTACGGTTACCGCCCGGGCTACCGTTCGGCATCGGCACGCTTAGCAACGTCGACGCCTGCTGCTGCTGCTGCTGCTGCTGCTGCTGCTGCTGCTGCTGCTGCTGCTGCTGTGGTTGCTGCAGCGCCGCGTCCAAGTTTTCCTCGATCGTACGGCTCACCGACATTTTGCCTTTGCCGCTCGGGCCCGAGGACTCGCTCGACGGCACGAGTGACTTCTTGCGAGCGAAGATCGACATGGCGCGCTGTTTGACGTGCGGTGGCTCGGCGACGTGCTGTCTCACGCCACCACCCTCATGATGACCCTTCCTAAGGAGGTCCGTACCTGCGGTGGAAGAAGCAAGGACGAGGCTCGTTCTTTGTTATTGTTATTATTATTATCTCCGCTAAGGGGTTGGCAGGAGGTTGTGTTTTCACCGGCGTGTGTTTGTTCGTTTGTGGGTTTGTAACACCGTTCTTTGTGTACAGCCTAACTAAAAAAGTTATGGACGGATTGTCATAAAATTTTCAGGATAGGTCAGAAATGGGCTAACTTAGAACTGATTAGATTTTGGTAGTGATCCGGATGCAATTAATTAATTAATTAATTAATTAATAAAATTTTCAGGATAAGTCAGAAATGGGCTAACTTAGAATTGATTACATTTTGGTAGTGATCCGGATTCCAATAGATTATTAAATTTTAGGGAAGTCAACTAATGTGGCCTAACTATTAGAATTGATGACATTTTGGTGGTGATCCGGATCCAATTAATTATTTAATTAATTAATTAATAAATAAAAATTTTTACAGAGCTGCCTTGGCGGAGGTCTAGTTATTATTATTATTATTATTATTGTTATTATTATTATTATTACTATGATTATCATCATCATTATTATCTTCTTCTTCTTCATCATCTTCTTCCTCTTCTTCATCATCATCTTCCTCCTCCTCCTTATTATCGTCATCATCATCATCATCATCATCATCATCATCATCATCATCATCATCATCATTGCTGTTATTTAGTTTGTTTATAGTCGTGTTACGTGACCAGTGTGGCGCTGTTAAACCGCTACTATATGAAAGGATTTCTATGAATTTCCAGCAATACATGTATTCAGTATTCTATATAATTCTAAATATAGTAACAAGGGAGTATAATTCTCTCTTCTATATGATTTTTTTATAGCAAAAATTATCAAGAGCTACTAATATATGTATAAATAGGTCTTGGTATTATATATATATTATATATATATTATATTATATATAAGTAAAGATCACAATCCACCGAACATCTGTAAGATAAAAAACAAAGTCAAGGTATAAGAATCACAGGTGTTAAAGTATAATTGACGAGCTTTCGAGATTAAACATCTCTTCATTCAGTGTCAGCTGACCTAAAAGCCATTTCATATTTCTGTGACCCTGATAAAAGATGTAATCTCGAAAGCTTCGTCAAGTTAAACTTTTAAACACCCTTATTCTATACCTTGACTTTGTTTTAATATATACTATATATATAAGATATATATATATGATAATTCTATATATATAATAATAATATATATATATAGTTTTTATTGTTTATCGCGGGAATGATGCGGAAACACAGTGATGACGTTGATCGGCTGCAGCTTCATAGGTAAATAGGTACAACTATGAGATCTACTTTGACACCATATCCAGTGCAGTTAACACCGACAAGTATCAGAACAAAGCATAACATGACAGCAGGTAGAACGGGAGAGGTATATAGCTAGCCACAGCACGATCGTCGCTAGAAAGCAATCCACGAGGTGGCGCTGCCGCCGTGAGACAGGCAATAATTTACAGCTAGTCGTAAACTCGTGTTAAACACTGTTAGCACACCTATAAACCACGACGAGTATTTCTCACCCAGCGCGGATTCTTCAACTCTATAGCAACATGGCAATGCTACAGCGAATCGTAGATTCTTTTTTACGGGGGCAGAAAAACATTTCTATTGTTCATCGCTGCGCCGCGCCACCTAGCGGGCTGTCTCGACATGACATGACTACACGATCGCGGCGCGCTATTTTCGAGTCGTATTATTTTGGTTAGCGGCCGCTGGTTTTTTGCGGCGCTTAAGGCAGGGAGGCTGACAGAAATGCGCTTCTGTCGATCTGACTTCTAAGTTGAACAAGATGTCTGAAGTCTGAAGATGCGTCACTACGTAAGGATCTGTACCTTGTTTACTAGCGTAAAAACTGGATACGAAAAAGCTGAATAGATACGAGAGTAAAAGATAGAGTGAGAGCGGGAGAACGATTGAAAGAGAGAGAGAGAGAGAGAGAGAGAGAGAGAGAGAGAGAGAGAGAGAGAGAGAGAGAGAGAGAGAGAGAGAGAGAGAGAGAGTAGTAGTAGTNACCGACAACCGGATCCCGACGCTGTCACACCGACAACCGGATCCCGACGCTGTCACACCGACAACCGGAGCCCGACGCTCTCGCAACCGACAAGGCGGCAGCCATGTTGTCTGCTTTGTCATGTCCTCCAAGCTCGACAGCCTCGATCCAGAGCCCACGCAGAGCAAGGTCGAGGAGCAGCAGAAGAAGTAGACTAACACGGTGACGATAGGGTAAGCTACATCGTATTTCACGGTGTATATATAGCCACAAATTCGGAAATAATTTATTAACAGTAAAATAGCTCGCGAAGTGCCGAGCAGCGCGCGAATTTTCGTAGCTAGAGTAGTATTCCAATTTCATGGTAACGGCGTCACGTGACTCAACGCGTCGAAAGGATATAGTAAGCTATGCGATGAGGAGGGCGATACGCCTATAGCCGCTTCAAAGTATGACCTCAGATGTTGCAATTTAGGGAAGCCGCATTCAGCGTGTTTTTATCCCTACCAACAGAGGCATACTACGGCACAAAAATCACCATAGTACGTAAAAAGGTGACGAACGAGCTAAAACAGCTCCGATTTCGTCACGCGTCGCGTCATTTTTGAGTCACGATTGCCGATACCATTTGGTCGATATCACGACAACGCAAAACCACGAATTCAAATTTTTAATAAACAAAGAGTTGGCTATGGATCTGTGTTTACGATATGGCTTAACCGGTGATATCTGTATTTTTATGTTTCATCGTTTGGTTGTTTGTGTTGTTGATTTCTTTTTATTAACCGATGACTGACGTGTTTTAAGCGGTAAGCTGTATCCTTGTCTCGCTCACATTCCTAGCCTTTCCATGCCGATTCGAGTTGAGCACCGATGCAGTCTGTCAACCCCCCCCCCTGTGATACGAAAATGTGCACATTTTCACTATAGACAGCTGCAGCTCCCCTCAGCCCGTTTCAAAACCGGACTTTCCATCCCTTCTCTACTCCAAGGATTTACCTCAACATCATGCCTTAGACTAACGTTTTTAACTTTTAACGTTTTTTATGTATAACTGTATTTTCGTGGGGACACGAATTCTTTCGAGAGGGAAGGAAGGATTGTTGTATGTAGGACTCGCGCAATTAGGGCTTGACGTCAATACTTCTAACTCCTGCGGCAGTTATTGTTGTTTGGTAGATAACATGGGAAGTATGCTCGTATATTATATACGTACCTACGGATAGATTACAGACAATTGCGCGTTATATGTCAGCTAATCAGTAGAAGCTGGGCGAGAAACTGGTTTGGATTGTGGGGCGTCCGGGCGCTTTTTAAAACGCGTATAAATAGACGCTCGGGGAGACGGAAGTCAGGCACCGAGTTACATGTATGCATGTATGTATGTATGTATGTAGTGTATGTATGTATGTATGTATGTATGTATATGTATGTATGTATGTAGTATGTATGTATGTATGTAGTGTATGTATGTATGTAATGTATGTATGTATGTATGTATGTATGTTATGTATGTATGTATGTATGTATGTATGTATGTATGTATGTAGTATGTATGTATGTATGTATGTATGTATGTATGATGTTATGTATGTAATGTATGTATGTATGTATGTAGTATGATGTATGTATGTATGTATGTATGTATGTATGTATGGTATGTATGTATGTAATGTATGTCATGTATGTATAGTATGTAATGGTATGTATGTATGTATGTATGTATCTATTATTATGTATTATTATGTATGTATTATATGTATGTATGGATGTATGTATGTATGTATGTTGTATGTAGTGTATGTATGCTATTGTATGTATGTATGTACTGCTATGTATGTATGTATGTAGTTGTATGTATGTATGTATGTATGTATGTATGTATGTATGTATGTATGTATGTATGTATGTATTGTATGGTATGTATGTATTATGATGCTATGTATGTATGTATGTAGTATGTATGTATGTATGTATGTATGTATGTATTGTAAAGGGCGGGGGGGGGGGGGGGGGGGGTCGGGGAGGGTTGGGGGGGGGGGGGGGGGGGGGTGATGTAATTGTATGGTATGTATGTAGTATGTATGTTGTATTATGTGGTGTGGTGTGTGTGTGGTGTGTGTATGTATGTATGTATTATGTATTGTATGTATGTATGTATGTATTATGTGATGTTATTATGTAGTATGATGTTATGTATGCATGTTGTATGGCACTGTATGTATGTAATGTATGTATGTATATGTATGCATGCATGTATGTGTGTATGTAATGTATTATGTATGTATGCAGTATGTAAGACTGCTGTATGTATGCATCGTAATTGTTGTTGTTGGTGTATGTGAAACTCTCACCTACGCACGCACGCACGCATTCACGCGCACTCGCACGCACGCACACAGGCACATACACCACGCCGCCCTTCCACGCAACGCCGGATGCACCCGCGTAGCACGAAAAACACAATCACACGCACGATCATACACACACGCACAGACACGCACGCACGCACGCACGCACGCACGCACGCACGCACGCAAGCACAGCGACGAAGGTGAAATAGTGCGCTTGCCGTCTGAGCGCCACTAATCTAGTCTCATGACTTTGTTCTCATATATTCCTCTTGTTTCTCTCTCCTTTATTCTCTCCTTTATTCATCTCTCCCGCTTCTCTCTGACGTCACGACATCGCGCCCCGTTTTTATGCGCGCACTCGAGCCTTCACATGTCTTCACATTGAACCGACAGCCATAACTGCCACATCGCTACAGATCAAAGTACGGAGAACACCGAGAAAGGAAGAGCGCTAGAGAGAAAGAGAGAGAGAGAGACAGACAGTGAGAGACAGAAAGAAAGAGAGACAGAAAGAGACATGGAGAGCGAGAGAGAGAGAGACAGAGAGACAGGGAGAGTGAGAGAGAAGAGACCAGAGAGACCAGAGAGAGAGAGAGAGAGAGAGAGAGAGCAGAGAGACAGAGAGAGAGAGAGAGGAGAGAGAGACGATAGAGAGAGAGAGTAGAAGAGAGAGGAGACAGACAGACAGAGAGAGAAGGAGAGAGAGAGAGAGAGAGAGAGAGAGAGAAGAGAGAGATGGAGGAAGAGACAGGAGACAGACAGAGAGAGAGGAGAGAGAGAGAGAGAGAGAGAGAGAGAGAGAGAGAGAGAGAGAGAGAGAGAGAGACAGAGAGAGAGAGATACACACACAGGGAGAGAGGAAGGGAAGCTACAGGAAGGAGATTCTCAGCTGTTCAACAGCTGACGTTCGGCGGCGAAAAAATATGGGCAAAAATATGCGGCGATGAAATGAGAGGCGAATCGCTGCGACTGTAGCTGAACATAATATCCACAACTTCTCCAATCGTTCAGACGAAAACTAATATCCGCATTTTAGTTAATGACGCATTATTGCACACGTACGAGCACGCGCACGCACGCACACACACACACACACGCGCGCATCCACGCACCCACGCACACACACACGCCCACACACACACACGCGCGCGCACGCACGCACGCAAACACCCACGCACTCACGCACGTACGCACGCACGCACGTACACACACACGCACCCACTCACCCACACGCACGCGCGCACTCGCCCACGCACACACGCGCGCGCACGCACCCACGCACACACGCACACACACACACGCACATACGCACCCACGCACGTACGTACGTACGAACGCACGCACGATGCTTTTAGAACTGGTCATGTCAACATGGTCTTACGCTCTCGAATAATAATAAACTGTTACTAATATCGCAGCTGTGCGCGCATGCGCGGCGGTTGTACGGTGGCGGGCTGCGCGCGCCGTGAGTTTCCCACCCCCGCATCATCAATCATTTCTCATTCCTAACCCTAACCCTAACCCTAACCCTAACCCTAACCCTAACCCTAACCCTAACCCTAACCCTAACCCTAACCCTGACCCTGACCTTAACCCTAATCCTAACCCTAACCCTAACCATAACACTGACCCTAACCCTGACCCTAACCCTAACCCTAACCCCAACCCGCGCTACTATAATAAACAGGGACGTGACTGCCACAGTGTCTGTGACACAGCGCACGCCTGCCTGCACGTCTGCCTGCCTTCCTGCTTGCCTGCCTGCCTGCCTGCTTTCCTACCTGCCTGCGTGCCTGCCTTCCTCGGATTTCATCATAAGGTTAAGAATAAGTTTATAGTAAGTTAAAATCGAAATATATTAACCTGCTAACGTCCGTATTAGCAGCCAGTCTAGCTATTTTTGTCAATGTGAATGCGGTTGTGAGTGATATCGCAGGCTTATGCAGGGATGCAACAGGGAGTGCAGGGTTAAGGATGCTGACTCACCGGGTTGGTGGAATTCGGGGGCGAACTGTTTGGCGGAGCTGCGCGCCCGCTCCGAGTTCTCACGTGCTCGCTTCGCCATCTCAGTCGCTTCCTGTGACTTCTGCCGCGCTGTCGCCGTCCTGCCGACACAAACACATGACAGTAGTATTCAAAGTGGTAGTAGTGTTGGTGGTAGTAGAAGTAGTAGTAGTAGTAATAATAATAATAATAATAATAATAATAATAATAATAATAGTAGTAGTAGTAGTAGTAGTAGTAGTAGTAGTAGTCGTCGTTGTTGTCGTCGTCGTAGTAGTAGTAGTAGTAGTAGTAGTAGTATTAGTATTAGTATTAGTAGTAGTAGTAGTAGTAGTAGTAGTAGTAGTAGTAGTAGTAGTAGTAGTAGTAGTAGTAGTAGTTAGTTAGTAGTACGTCGTCGTCGTCGTCGTTACGTACGTACGTACGTACGTACGTACGTTACGTTCGTACGTACGTTACGTACTACGTTACGTACGTTACGTACGTTACG